CTGTTATTTGCTCCAGCTAGACGTGTGTGTGTGTGTGTGTGTGTGTGTGTGTGTGTGTGACTGGTGGCTAAAACTCCATCCCTGGGCCTTTCTTCGATTTGCTCCTGGTCTCTCCCCTTTCCTTCGGAGGGAAAAGGGACATCCTGTCCCCCATGAGGAAGCCAGCAACTCTCTTCTGCACAGACAAGGCTGTTTAAGGATTTCCTAAGTCCAGCCACTCCTCTCCCCCTCTTCTCCTCAGCCCCAAACCCCAGTCCAACTCCTACAGCCTCTAGCTCCTCCCCTCAGCCACGGCCACCAAGCCCACCTGAATGTCAACTTCTGAGATTCACATGTGAAAACAGCATTTCATAACCTCCTGACTCCTCCAGACAAGGAGATGCCTCTGTGCTTTGGGGGAAAAAGAAAAAAAGAAAAACACCAAACCCAAATCCTGAAGCTTGGAAGAAAACACCACTTCTCTCTGAGAGTCCCCTCAGCCCTGAAGCCACACGTGCTCCGTGGCAGACAGGGCTTTCAATGTGTCTTTTGTGTCATGCTGGTGTTTCAACATCCTCAATTTGGAGAGGAAAAGGTCAGCACTACTCCGGGTGCTCACAGAACTGAAAGGCCAGGAATTCTTCCTCCTTGGGACCCTCCTCGGGAAGCTCCCAGGACCAGGACCCAGAAAGCCACGGTTTGTTCCCTCCTCTAAACTTCCCAGAGCTCGCACAAGCAACTTTTCCCCTCCCGGGCCCAGGCAAAGGCAGAAGGAAGCAAGCTGAAATCCATCGGCAGCCAAGCAGCCGGGTTCTCCAGCCCCTTCGCCTGCCCCTTTATCTGTTCCTTCACAAAAACAATAAGCAAACCCAGGCACCTCTGGGAACAGCCTCTGGCCTCCTGCCCTGCCCTGTGTAACCAGCCTGTCCTCACACCCACAGCCGGCGGAGGAGGAGACTGCACTAGTTAACCCTCTGGTCTACCAGGCCCGGTTCCCAGGTTGCAGCAGGGAGGCAAACTGTTGCTCAAGGAAACCCTTCAGAAAACCCTTGGCACCGGAGGCAGCTCAGCCCGCAGCTCTATACAGTGCCCTACCAGGACTTCCGCACTGCCCACCGCCCTTTCAAATCTGCAGGGGTGGGCTGGACTCCCCTGAGCCCTGCGTGTCCGTCCTCGGGGCTCCAGAAGCCCCAGGCAGCGCTGAGAGGAGGGACTGGCTGGCCGAGCGCTGCCCTCGCCCCGCCAGCCCAGCCGCCAGCTTCTTGGAGGACCTCAGAGAGAACATTTGTTTGGGCTGCCAAGTTAAATCTTCCTCCCTCATGTCAGGGCATTGGAAAAGCAGTCAGGGGAGTGGGGAAGGGGGAGAGCGGGGGAAGCAGCGGCGGGAGGGGAGGAGGAGGGAGGGAAAGAGGCAGGCGGGTAGGCTCCGAGCCGCAGTTACTCCGGCACTGCCTTGCCTAGGAAGCTGCTGCTCGGACAGAGCAGCCCCAGCTCCCGGCACCCAAGCAGGGACCCGGACGCCAGGTTTTCACGGTCCGTGCGGGGTGCCCGAAGTCCTGGGGCCGGGCCTTGGAGACGTACTCGCTCTTCGCCCAGCTGGAGGGGAGAGGAGGAACAGGAGGGCAGGGAAGGGAAAAGTTTGGGACAGGTAGAGGGGTAAGGCTGGGCGGCCTTGCCTCCAGGCTGTCCCCCAGGGAGGGGTGAGGGGGCCCCCCGGCCGGCGGCCCTGGCGCGCTCCCGTGCGCCCGCCCTCCCGCCTGGGTTGTTTACATTCCTGGAGTGTCTTTTAAACCCCGGGCTGAGGCCGGCTCCCGGCCTTCTCCAGCGGCTCCGGGGCAGTCTCCCGTGAAAATCTGCTGGCGCACAATGGCCGGGAAGGCGGCCGCCCCTCGCCCGCGCCCCCACCGCTCCGGGGCGGGGAGCCTGCCCTCCGCACCGCGCCCTCTCGCTGCCCGGCCGGCTTCCTGGACAGATGTCCCCGGCGAGGGGGCGACGCGCGCCCGCTGCCTGTGCCCCAGACGCCGAGGCCGCGCTCCCCCACTGTTTTCTCCCCACGCAGACGCCAGGAATGTGAAACAAGCTTCCAGAGCCCTCCCCATCTACGACCCCAGCACCAGCCCCGGCCAGGGCCCATAACCTCCGCCCCAGGGCCAGCCTCCCACTCCCCGGGGGCCACCGCCGCCAGAGACCGAGAGGAAGAAAGAACACGGGGAAATTACTTTCGTATTTGCAACGCGCGCGCACACACACACATGCACATCTTCCCTCTGGGTTCTTCTGGCCGGGGCAGCCCCATCAGGCGTGGGCCCGAAAGCCCCTTGGGTTTCCAAAAACCTCACTAGAACCCCCTCCACCTCCACACACCCCTCGGCGCTCCCAGCCCTGCACGCAGCGCTGCGATTCCCCGGGCGATTCCCACACAACCAACTTAACCGCGCCCCCACCTCCCATTTACAAAAGTGTGTGTTTTCCCTAGAAATTCAGATGCACAACTTAACACCACCATCCTTCGCCACCCCGAAACCCCACGCCTTCTCGGGGGGGGGGGGTCCCAGTACGCACACAGAAGCACAAGTTCAAATCACCCCAAAGGAGGTGAAGGAGTCCGAGGCGGTCCTTCCCCGGCCTTCCTTACTCCCTCCTTCGGAGCCCCGTCTGGCCCAGTCCCCGGGGTTCTAAGCTAGGGCTGGAGGAGCGCCGGCGAGAGGCGTGAGGCGTGAGGCGGGCTCGGTCCGCGCGCGCACTGCCGACCGCACTCGCGCTCCGCACGCCAGGAGCTCCGGCCCCTGCGCGCAGCCCGAGCCGGCTCCGCGCTGCCGGGCGCTCGCCAGGCAGCTGCCCCGGCCGCTGCCCCGGCCTCCGCCCCCGGCCACCACGGGGAGGGCAGCGAGCCGCGCCGCGAGCCACCCGCCCGACCCGAAGGACCCTTGAAGGGAAAAGCCCCAGCGCTCAGCACGCCAGGCTCGCACCCCAGAACCTGCGGGGAGCGGAAGAAAGCCTTGGGGCTAACGGGCTCCTGGCTCCTTCCCCAAACTTACCCGGCGCTGCGAGCACCGCTGCCGCCGCTGGAGGACGCGCCGCTGCCGGCGAGGGCCGGCTGGGGCCGGGAGGAGCGCGGCGAGGG